ATGTGCACTTACTGTGCCATAGGTGACCGTGTTCAAATCAAAAGTTTTAACTGGACCGTTGACTGACTCTTTCCACAAAATTCTCTGTAGCTGCCGTTGAGTAGGATGAACCGATATCATTCGGTACATCTTTCTGCTATCCGCTGTAAAAGCATAAATATGTTTTCGGAAACGTACCATAATTGAAAACAAGTCCTCTTGAATTACACCACCATTATACTGAATTGAATTCAGCGAATTACCTTTTGACGTTGCAGTCGAAGCATTGAACACTGCTCTCAAAGGTGTTGAACTTTTCTCAGGGTAATAAATACCAAGGTGTGGAATATAATATTTCCCCTTTTGCTCATCTTCATCTTTCACTTCAGTCATGTGACCTAGTTCACTATATTCATGTAGAAAATCAAAGTACAATAATAAGTAATTTTTTATCCTCACTTAAATGAGTCCACAAGGAGTTCAACCTCTTAAGTGTGATTTGTTTCAAATTCTCTAAACACATTGGATCTTCCTTAAACAGTATCTTGACTACATATTTTCCGGTTTCAGTCCTAGAATAGTTTTTGAGAAAATGCTGTTCACAAATTTCTCCTTCTTTACTTTTAGAAATCTCAGACTCTCTCTCTACGTTTTCGACTTTCCCAAACTCTCTTACTGCTCTTTCTAACTCTAAATTATCTGTAATAAGCCCACAATGTAGTTTACTTTCCCCTTTAGCAGGAAGAGTCCCATTTACAACATAGCCGAAAACACTATTTTTTAATCTTAAATTTTTATCCTGAAGGGAAATTTGACCTGGTTTTAAAAGCTGATGTTATCTAAAGATGAAACATTAATTTCAAGAGGCCTAGAAGGCGTATATTCTGTTATTTTAGGAACCACCAAAAAATTTAAACTTGAATCGAAACTCTTTCTCCATTTAAAATAGTTGCACTAACTAGATTTTGTATTCAAAGGCAAATTGTTTATTTCTGAAACAGAAATGTTAGTCTTTTGTCTCTTTAATTGAGGCAAATTTGCTAACCTTTTGCTCATAAAATTTGAATTAGCACCGACATCTAACAAACCTCTAACTTTAAAAAAGTTACCCAATGCATCTTTAATTAAACAAACTAAAGTGCTGAGTAGGACAGCTTTTAATTCATTCGCGAGATTGCACGTTGTTGAGAATAAATTTTGATCAGTACTCGTTTTAGCTTGCAGAGGTTCAAATGAGGGAGCCAAAGCTTGCAAATTCGAAGGAATATTTTTATTTTCATGACTCACCACCTGCGAAATCACCTCTTTGTTTATTTTTTGTTTGTGAGGGAAATGAAGAGTCACGTGATGTTTCTTTTTACAAATACTGCAAAGGAATGTATTGCTGCAATTAATCACCTTATGATTTCCTAAACAGTTGAAACATAAATGTTTCGATTTCACTAGCTCAACTCTATCGCTAACTGTCATGTTTTCATAAACAGGGCATTTGTACAAAGGATGAATTTCATTGCATGATAAAATACATTTCGAATTTTTTACATCAGTTAGAAAAACTTTGACATATTTTTAGGATAACTGTTTTTATTACTCAACACAGAATTATCCACTACAGGTTTTCCGTTTGATGTATAATATAAATCTATCTACTTCGCTAGTGCTACAGATTTAAACCAAGAATTTCCTTTCCTTACATTTATAAAACACATAACCTCTTTATCAAGTGTTTGACATAATTTATCAGAAACCATTAATTGTTTTAATGTTTCAAAGTCATTTCTCAGTTTCAAATAATAATCCCAACTCGTAGTAACATCTAGACTCGTAACATCTAGATACGAACTGCAAATAAGTTTCATTTGTCATTCGTTGTGTCTTCATAAAATTTTCTAAACAAATTTTAAGGGGATGGTTCAAATTCTCTTAACACTATTTCTTTAACCTTTGAATAATCTCCTAATTCATCATCTTTAATGTATGTAATAACATTTGTGGCTTTTCCTCCCAACAAATTTAGAAGAATTTCTGTTTTAAATTTCTCTGGAACACATTTGAAATGAACGCCCTTTCTAACGATGAAAAGGAAAAAACCCCAACCTTCCGGTCTAATTGGAATTATAGTTGTTAATGTGCGTATACTTACAAGATTGCATTACTATTGCAATTACTACTCAGCACTCTCTTATTAAGAGTCAAGAGATTCTACATTTTCCCTTTTGTCATATTCTATGAGGTTTTCACTCTTTAATTCTGCTCGCAACTTTGCGAGTTCTAGTTCCGATTTCGCTCATTTTCAGTTTTTCAAGTTCGAGCAATCTGCTCTTGTCACTTTTCCTTTCGTCGATGATAGTATTATTAGCTATACCTTCAACTAATACAGGATCCTTCTTATAGCTTTCACTGTTTTTAATTATATCAGTTAAATCTGATATAGTTTTTGCTTCTGAAATGTCTCAGTTCAGCTCTACAGCAATAAGCTGATAATCTTCTTTTTTGCACTTTTAAACATTTTGAATCTACTTTTTCAATTATACAGTTATTACAATTAAGGCCACGTACCTTTTATTTAAGAGTAATCTGCAAGTTTTCCTTCCACGACACTTGTTTTCCGACTTTGACACACATTCAAACTCCGGCTGGGTAAGGACCAACAATGGGCCCGTGCTCAGGAAAACTCATAATTAAATAAATCACTTTACACAAGAACTCAAAAATGGACTGTTTATTTATTTATAGACTAAAATTTATCAATTACTCAAAAAGCCGCATAGTCAGTTCACAGCTATCGGCAGCATCTCAGAACACACTCAAACTCAATACAAGTGGCCACGAGGGGGCGTTATAAACAACAAACAATCAGTGTCATCGTTTTAGAACACAAATATTACATATTTTTCACAGATGGTGCCTCTGGTGTCAACACCTATCATGACATGATTAGTTGTAATGCGTGATCATGCTGAATTTGATTGCTGAATATTTGTCAGGGCTTAGTTCTGCGTTGGATGTCGATTAGGAAGTACGTTGCTTATTTTGTGGAAGGTATGTGGGGTGTAATAGAAAGGGATTTTGAAAGAAATGCCACTGACAGTCAGGCTCTAGAGAGGATAATTTTAATTCTTACTTTTGTGAATTTATGTAGCGACGGCAGTATACAGATTCTAGTTCAGATAATTTTAAACAGTTCTTGGCTGCTGTTAAGAAATTGCCACACGTCGAAGACGTAGAAATTTCTAAATAAGGTAAGTCGATATTTCCTTTTTGTAATGTGCAGATTAGATAACATGTATTTATATTTTTATGTTATTTCCTTGTTTTATTTTGATTTAAAATGCAGTTTATTGAGAATATAATTTTTTAATGTTTTAATTATGTTTTGGGCGTCATTTTTTTTTTTTTTTTTGTAGGGCATTGCATGTAAACAGGAATGGCGCCAAAAAATCACCAATTTTCGCCAAGGGGGACCCTGAAATATATTTTTCCCTTGATGGGATAATACATAAGTACCAGTTCGGCTTCTTTCCTTGCAATAACTTTATCATTGTACAACCACATTTTCCATGCTACTATTTTTTTTAACTGCAGTGGATTTCACAACTTGAGATTTGATAAGAGATCGATAAGCAGCTGTCATGGTTTTTTAATAAAGGTTTCTAAAAAGAGAATAATGTTCTTCATGAAGATAGACTATCTCATGAAATTAAAATATGACTTAAACCTGGAATGCCTATGCTGCCTTTATTTCTGATGTCAAAAAAGTATTCAAATGCAAACATAGTTAGTCATGCATTTCTTTTGTTACTTTTGTACGATTCATTTACTAATGATGTCAGTATTTGATGTTTATTTTTTGTGAATTAAAGCTTGCCTTAAATGACTCCAATCAACACAGAGGTTGATGAGTTATTAAAGGGATATGCACCAGTTTGTCTAATCTTGTCCCGGCTTAGACCCATGTATGGGCTGTGAAAGAGTTGCATGGTTGGTTTTCATGATTTTCCCATTTATAACATGAATACTAGCCAGTGTCTTTAAAAAGCTCTCCATAGAGACATCCCTTCCCTTATACAGATAACCCTCATGTGCATTGTTGTATTCAAATAACCTAGCCTTCGTATGTCATCTTAACATTGAAACTAATGGATATTACAGAATTTTAGAAACTGATGAAAACATTAAAGGTTTTTATTGTAAAGGTGGAGAATTGTCATGTAATATCTAGCCAAAGGTGTGGGCAAAGACTAAGCCAAAAAGTAACAATATTGTATTGAAAATGTTTAGTATGACTTTAATGAAAGAACATCAAATATATTAAACTCTCATTTCCTAAGTTGTCAAATGAAGTGTATTCTTTCTTTTGCTTGTACTTAGCATGGGTATTCCAGTCTTCTGCTTCTTCTTCTTCTTCTTTTTTTTTGTTTTTTTTTTTTTTTTGTTTTGATTTTACATAAAAATAAATTAACAATGAAAAGACATGTCATATAAAAAGGGAGGAAAAATCACTATAACAACTGTAGCCATTAACTCTAGACCATGCTGATGTATGGACTGAAAATGTTATTTAAGTGAGCCATGCATTTTTAACCTCATGCAAGCATTCTGATGCTTTAAGTTATGGTAAAATACTTTTTTCGTAACATATGATTATCTCATAAATAAGCATCAAAACCCACCGTTGTTTTCCTGAAAAAATATATCCTGGTAGATGAATTACTAATCCTGGTAGATATTGGGGGAATCGACATTTATAAAAAAGTACTGAATTATGCATTTCGATATTTTTTAGAAATGTTAATTTATCTAATATTAACTATAAGTATTTTAAAAAGATATCTGAAAATTGAGATAGACTTGAAGAGAGAAATTGCACCAAATAGAACTAAAATTCTTGGAGCACTGGGAATATTTAAGGGCTACATTAGTAACGTATGAATGGAAAAGTTAGAAAGTATAAACATAATTAATATTTCTAATTAATTGATCTATGTAATTTTTTTTAATAATGTAAATTTGATTCTTAGAGAATGACACCTGAAGAAGCAAAGAAAAAAGCAGAAGAGAGAGAGCGAAAGCGAATTGAACAAGTGAGTGAGCATAATTAAAATGCACTGATGCAACTATATGATAATTTTCTACACTGTAAAAAATTTTCTCAGTATGGTATATTTTTAATTAGAAGATTTATGTTAAAAGAATGAAAAAGAACATTTATTTATTTATTTTAGTCCAAAGGAGATTTCTCCCTGAAGGACTATTGTTTTCGTTTTGCGTTGAAAAATTTAAAAGTCTGTATCACTTTTCAAATCGTTGCCACCAAATACTATCACTTAGGGTTCGTACGGTCCTTAAGAGTCCTTAAAAGTCCTTAGATTTTTTTGGAATCGATTTTTGGTCCTTAAAAGTTCTTAACTTTGGCCAAACTCAGCAGAAGGTCCTTAATTTTAATCATCTGAAATTTCTGTCTGTTTTTACGACTGCCATTTTGAATGTGAATTAATATTTTGGAGGAATATTTTTGGCAATTCACTGACATATATAGTTATCTTTTCAATGGGTTCGTGGGTTATAATTTGTTTCTAAAATAAATGATGAGATACTCAAGTTTCTAAGCAAGAATTGAAACATAAGGATTTTGAAATTCATTTTATCTATTTATTTTATTTGAAATTCATCTAAGAGCTCTTAAACAACTTTTTGCTTTTGGGAATGTGAATTCTTTTATTAAACAGTTCTAAATTTGGTGACGTATCAACATTTTGGCGATTTTAAGATCTATAGAATAGAAAATTTTTAATTCCAACATCTGAGAATTTTTCAACGATTTCTTTAAAACATTGTAACATTGATAAATTTCATTAAAATAATGGTATATTGAAATTATATTTAAAAAATAATATTAAAATAAACATTTTATTTTTCGCTGTCATATTATAAAGTGTCATTTTAGGCAATTTATTATACACAATTTTGAATTTGAAAAATAAAGAAGGTATTATGCTCTAAAGCACAATTTATGAAATAGTTCTTAGCAAAAGCAAAATTAGCTATGTAGTTAATTAAAAATGTCTTTTTTTAAAAATTTTTTCATAGTAAGAGTTTTTCCCATGTAAATATCTCAGAATATTCAAAATTCCCAGAATAAGCTTCAGTTTTCTCAAAAATGTTAATTTTACCCTCTTTTTTTTTTTTTTTTTTTTTTTTTTTTTTTTTTTTTTTTTTTTTTTTTTTTTTTTCAAAAATATTTCTGGCTTTTTGTTATTACAGAATTGATAGGGATACTTTTTCTTTAGGATTTTAGACATTGCAGCTTGGAAGGTTTAGAGGTATTTGAAGGCAAGATCTATAGACCCACGGTTCTAGGAAATTCGAGAAATATGTGACAAAATAAAAAATGTCTCCATGGTATCAACACGTAATGGATGTATTTTACAGAAAGTTTGCAATGAATTTCTTACTTTTTGGAGAACGTCTGGAAGAACAATGTAAACATAATATTTGAATGTTTTGCTTCTGATACTAGCAAGAGCATTGGCTTGTATATTGAGACAAATCTCTAATTGTTAGGAAAAATGCTTAAAGAGAATGAAATCGATATAAATTAGCCAAAATGTTTGGGAAGGCTTCAAATTAAAACGACAGATAAATATTTTGTTGTTATGTTTTGTAGCTTTTAATGTGTAATTATCCTAATATCATTTAAGAATCAATGTCATAAATTACGTGTATTTTAAACTGAAATTTTATTAGATTTTGATTTTAATAGGGCTTTTTTTAACGAATATTGTTAAAAAATAAAATTTAATAGTTAATGGTCATGTAAATCCATAATGGCTAAGGTTTTCAAACTACCTAATTTAATTATTTATAACTAACTGCTTACCCTTAAAAATTATCTCTACATATCAAAGTGCATAATTGCCTTTCATTAATACTCACTGTGGTCACAAGATAAAATACAAAAATGTAAAATTTCAAGTAAAACATATTCTTTGCTTCTAGAGTGAGGCTTAAAATAATACAAAACAACTTATCACCTCTGGTGCTTTAATGTCTTATTGGAACCTTTAAAGTATATTAATGGGGTTACAACCCCTGGAACTCTACACAGACCTACAACACTAACTGCATCAAACAGAACCTGACTAACTTTCAACACTTACCAACCGTGCCTAGATCAGGCCTTTCAGGTTTGTTCTAATCAACAGGTCTCTCTCTAGGCAAGCAGCAGCAGTGACAGCATTCAGTCTTTTGTTGTGAATCATGCTGATTATGATCTTACTTCTCATTTTAACCTATGCCATTTGACATAAAATCTTCCTGCTATTTACCTCTAGACTGACCAAGTATGTGACAAAATGAGACATAAAAAAAGTCAACATAAACAGGGTTCGTAGCGGTCCTTACAAGTGCTTGTAAGTCCTTATATTTGAAAATAAAATATAAAGTCCCTTTATATGGTGCTTACTTTTTCTTTAAAGCCCTTATTATTTTTTGCTTTTAGTGCTTTTTTTAATGAATGCACATTTTTCCCCCATACCAAAGCTAAAACTAAACAAACAGCCTTTCTTCCTTATTATATGGAACATCAGATGGTGAATCATACTCCCCGAAATAGCTTTTCCCCCCTTTTCTCTGCATTAACGTAATCTATTGTTTGCTCGCTAGAGTACAGACACGTGCTCGTCATGCTATTGGTCAATGGAACTTGCGAAAAGCTCTAGAAAATTCCGGTACATTCGATATTCTTTTCCGCCCACCCAAATATTACACACGTTTGAATTTCTATTAAGAATTTAAGGCTCTAGTGTAGAATTGGGTGCCCCTTCGATTAGTGACACATTTTTTAAAAATTTTGGCGATGAAACCTCATTTCTGGTTCCCATGATAGTTTTAATATTTAGCTTCTTGATTTTTTTAAAATGAAAATAGATTGATGTGTACATGGACAAATTTAAAACAGTGCACAATGCCTAGTTTGTGCAATTCTGAGATGTTTTTTTTAAGTGAAAAAAGATCGATGTGTACATGGACACAGAGTTTGTACGTGGACACAGAGTTTGTGCAATTTCGCGTCTCCTGATTTCAGAAATGTGCCTCTTTTTTACTTAAATTACTTTGCTTGAAATATATGTTAAGGGAAAACTGTTAGCAATGAAAATTTAGAAAATGTTCAAAATTTTGATTTAAGTTAAATTATTTAAATATTAATATGAGTGGAAAAATAAATTGTATTTATTAATAGGTGCCAAACGAATACAATTAATATGGCTTATTATTATTTATTTTCTATATTTTGAACTGAAATTTCATTATTAAATCTTGTAACATAGTTTAGTTCTGCATAGTTTTTTTTTTTCCTGTCATTGTAAACTAATTCTGTAAATTGAACTGTCATTTAAAATTGGAAAAAAAAAAAAAAAAAAAAGTGGTACTATTCTGTTTTGAGGGCCGTAAAAAAATTACAGCGAAAATTTATGCACAAAAGCACCAAACCTAGCAAACGCGCCCATTTAACAGCGCGCCAAATCTAGCGTACGTGCTGATTTCAGATTGCGTAAGTTTATATAGTTCTATATTTCTATATTTCTTAAGACGCCATTGAAATACTAATATTAATTTTTAAATCTTTTTATATATATATATAATATATATTATTATCCTATAGATTTAACAATTTGGGAATTGCCCATGACGAAAAGTCGGCATAGAATTTGGGGTAAAGTGCAGAATCATCCACTGCTTGACGCGTTTTTAAGAACTACACATACTCAATATCCATGTGCACATCGACCTATTTTCACTAAAAAAAAAAAATATCCTAAAATTGCACAAAAATGGCAGTGCACACCCTTGACTTTATCTGTGTACACATTGATCTATTTTCAATTTAAAAGTAAAAGAAAATTGACAAAAATCCAATTGTTTTTACCCTTGTAAAAAGCGGCGAACAAATAAGTGAGCTATTCTGCACTTTACCGAGAATATTTTCAAAGAAAAGACATCATTCATTATAGAAAATTATGTTTGAACAACCAACGAGATGAAATTATGCTTTAACGATAAGTCGGTAGCGAAATAGCGATGCAGGCATCCATTCAGCTATGTTTAGCAATTTTTATATAAATTATAATAATAAAAAAGTATTATATGAAATTAACCTTTCATCTAGATTAAAACATCAATCTTAGTTATTTACTATTATACTTCCTTTCTTGCCGCAATTATTTTTGGCAGCATTGGCATCAACAATAGTTTGGCGATTTTTTACGGCCCTCGAAACCGAATAGTACCAAAAAAGTTAATTGTTTTCCATGGTTGAGGTAATGCATTCTCTTAATAAATATTACATTGCTCGTATTTTAAATTACAAGTCTAATTTTCATTTAAGGTAATGCAGTTGTGTATAACGTAATTAGACAGGTGCTTATTTTTTCCTTAAAATGTGCTTGAAAAGTGCTTATAGGTGCTTATTTTTTTAACTAAAATGTGGCTACGAACCCTGATAAAGCTGTTAGTAAAGCATAAATGTCACTTATCTTCTTTCAAATATATCCAACTATTACAAGTGTAAAATATTTAATGCTACTTGATAAATTGATTATTTTATTCTCAAACTTATTAATAATTATGTTAATTAATTCATGTTTAGTAATAATGCATACTGCTTAGGAATCTATTTTATTTTTAGGATGGTATTACAAAAGTGAAATTCAGGCATAGATAATATTTTTAATTGAATTTATTCAGTTCCCATTTGCTCATAGGTCCTTAATTTTTTTCATTAATTGTCCTTAAAAGTACAGTAGAAGTCCAGAAGTCCACAAAGCTTGGGACCAGAGGTTATGTGGATTTTAGGATTTTGCGGATTTCAGGACAGAAAAGATAAATCATAATATTCAGACTCAAAGTGCAAAATAAATAAGGCATATTAGACACATTTAATTAAATTATTAATACATTATTGCAATAATTTGTTATATGCGTTAAATTATTATTATATATATAAATTGATTATATTATTGTATTATATGTACACAGCATCCAGATTTCTCGATTTTGCCTCATGCAAAGATTTTCGGCTTCGGATTCCGGTGTTAGAATCACTGTTGCTGTAAAATTTCAACAGCTTTTCTTTATTTTTCCATATATTGTACACAATTGTGCCACAATTCCTTACCATTCTGCTATAAACCGAGGAGTGGAACCTGCCTCCATCTTTTGCAGAATTTCCTCTTTTTGCATTACCGTCAATGCAACGTGTTTACGTTTTTCAACATTGCAAGCAGTGAAATGAGTGCGTTTCTTATCTGTCATTGTATTAAAAAGGGCTGAAATTTAAAATATTCTTAATTTATCCACAAAATATCCGGATAAAAAAAAGGCAGCACTAAATAGTCTCGTGAAATAACAAAGCTCAGAAAATACAACAACGGGAATCGTGAACTTGAAAGAAGAGTTGAGTGAATCGTCTGTTTTTTAACCTCGATGCATATTAGACGTGGAAAAAACTTTTTATCATGATGTCAACAATTTGGTATTTCCATTATGACTCATTATTATTCGGTAATTATGACGTCATTATTCGGTGAGTATTTTTTCTTCGATATTTCGTACTCAATGTTGTGGTTACCGGAACCTATAAACTGAATGTTTATATTTTGAGAGGCAGCGTGAATTTCAGGAGTTGGTGGATTTCAGGTCGGCGGAATTCTGGTATTTGACTGTATTTAATTTCCGTGTGCAGAAATGTGTACGAACCCTGTCACCTTGTGTTATATTTAAAGAAATTAAATAATGAAGAATATGCATAAATGTATTTATGTTTCTTGCATTGTGATAAAACATTTATCACAATCCAATTTTGAATCCTAGAGCCATCCAATTTTGAATGACGTAATCCTATGGCGAATATGGGCATGTGAAAGCCCAAATATAAATTTGGAATTTGTTTTATTATTGATTTCATATTTTGTAAAACTTTAACGAATTTTTGATTAACAAACTCAATGACTTAAAAGTGAGCAATGGCAACACCCTACCCCGGGGGGGGGGACCTTTTTATCTCCAGCACGCTGAACTGTGTATCGGAAATTCTAAAGATATGCTCTTTTTTAAATTATTTTGTAACATTGCTTGTTGAACTGAATTTTATGGTTTAAGTGCAAAGAACATGATATTTAATAAATGAAGGTAACACACAAAGCATAAAAAAAAAGCCCCTTTGGATGTAATTTAAAATCTCAAACCTTTCAGAATTTAATTTTGTTTTATGATATAAGCTATTATTGCTATGTAAATAATAATGAAAAATTCTCTTAAGTGATAATGCCAAATTTGTATGTAAAGAAGTAACAACATTGTTGAAAGGAGATGATGATGGCATGTGATGGCAGGTAGATTAGCAAAGTGAAATGAAGTCAAGTGTGTTTAATGCATGGACTGAAAGCAGTAATTGCAATGAAAAGTGCGGATGTATGCTTATTTTCATATACCATATATTCTGGCATATAGTGCACACCAGTACATAATGCTTACTTATGATATCAAACTATACTTTTTAATTTTTAAGAATATTCACTATATAACGCGCATTGTTTTCTTTACTAAGAAACCTTAAAGATACATGTGTGATGCTCTTATCTTTTGAAGTCATTCATTTGAAAATTTGTTCCTGGCTTTCAGGCAATGGTATAGAATTGGCAGGAGTCAGATGTTTCTTTCTGTAGTCATTTGAAGCTTTTATTTTAAAGTGAACATCAAAGGCTTTAGTAAATCTCATTTGCTTTAGCTGAAATACAGTTGATCTAAAATTTCGTTTAGTAGTAAATATGGCTCCTGCCAAACGAACTCGTCGGGACTTCGGCGATTCCAGATTAGGGTTTTTTCCGGATTATAGATCATCAATTTAAATCTGGTAAGATGGCATGCAGAAATTATACAATTAAAAATATGAAACCGTAATTTATGAAATAAAGAGCAATTATGATCTAAAGGGTATCAAAATTTACCAAAAGAAAAGGCTTAATATTTATTTGTTTACTTTATTAAACATTTCTTTAAACGCGCACTTGCGTAAAGCATACAGTACGCATAGTCAAAATTATAAAATTGCTACCAGAAAACTATTTGATGTGTGATTCAGAAGTCAAACAACAAAAATCAGCGTTAATTCACAAAATTTTCACAGTCTGTGAAAATTTTGTGAATTAACGCTGATTTTTGTTGTTTGACTTCTGAATCAGTATTTATTCGGCGTGTTATTGTGTCTTATTTATTTGATGTGTATTCGTGATATTTATAATGACATGGAAATTGATTTAAATCTTATGGGAGTACATAGAGATGAAACACTACATTTAGGTAAGGAATTATAAGCCAAATAAAATAAAAACATCTGCATGTTTGTACATGTTTGTGTGCAATATTACTAAGTAAAGTATGTAATAATAAATCCGTGTGTACATGGGGTGGACACTTGAAGTGCACATTTTAAATAAAATTAATTATAAGTGTTTGACAGTTTGCTGAACCATGGCCCAGCATTTAAGTAGCTAAAATGTTGCATTAATCTGCTGTTATTTGATTTAATGCTCACTGCAATAACTATTTTTGCTGAGAAAGTATTGTATTAATAATTTCTGTATATATGAAGTATGGAAAGTAAGTAATAATATGAACTATATTTTTACGTTTAATGGAATTTGGATCAGATTTTTGTTGGAAAAAAGTCTTGCATCTGCGAAATATAGGAATGTGAATTAATTTCTGTTAATCTCTTTTCTTACTTTTAGCAAATGAAAAGGGAAGAATTAGAAGCAAAACGAAGAGAAAGACAGTTGGAGAAAGAAAAGAAATTAAAAGAACGCGAAATGCGTAAGCAATTAGAAGAGCAAGAGAGAAAGGAGCGAGAAAGGTTAAAACAAGAAAAAAAAGAACAGGAGGAGAAAGAAAAGCTTCAGAAATTGAAAGAGAAAGAAGAAAAAAATAAAATGCGACAGATGATGCTTGAGTATGTATTGGAAAATTTGTCTCTTTGTAATAAAAGAATACTTACTAGTAGAAAATTCCAAATTCATTTTTTGATTAGCCAAATGAACCAGCATATTGATTGTTTTCTGCTTAAAATTTTATCATAATTTTGTACAAGGCTAAGATCTGTGAAGGGTAATATTGTATGAAAGGATTTTTAAAAATTAATTTTGGATAATTGTGTTACTGAAAGAATTTGGTGTAAAAATTGCATCCTGTGTAAGAGGCAAATATTCAGAATAACCAGCTATATAGCATATTATTTTACCTTTTCCAATTTATTTTATATTTTTTTTTGTTGTTAAACTGCCGAAGTTGTGTCACACATTGTGGAAAATAATACATAATTTTTAAAGATTTGTTAACATAAATGCAACAAGGCCAAAAGTCGCTAGACCATTTAAAAATGAAATAACTTTTTTTTTTATTTATTAGTAAATCTTTTGTAAACAGAAAACACATTTCTTGGATATAAATTTATTTAATTTTGAAAATTACATCCTTTAAATAACCAGCATTTTGCTCTTCATTTTAACATGGCTTTTTCTGCAATTTCTTCATGGATGTTGGCTTTGCTGAATGGTTGAAAAATTTTTACAGTACTCTACCTTCTGGAGCTGCTAAACATGGCAGTCACTTGATTTCAGAGTTTCGCAAAATTATCCTCTTCCGAATATCTTTCTTTAGAGTTCAATTGTTGAGTAAATTTTTGGAAATTTTGATCCATTCTCAACTTTCAGATACATAGTACAAATAGCAATATTGCTTGAAATTCAGTACCAGCCATTAAAATTGTAATGCCATCACGGAAACAGCTGATCGGCATGAATTTGTTCAATAGAACAGAGCATGTTAAGACATAAAAATGATTAACAATGCAAGTGCATATGCTGACAAACCAAAGCATTATTACCATCCACACATTTTTCAGTGAACTCATCTGAATGACTTGGCATGGGATTCAGTGGAAATAGTATTTAACTAGAGAAGGTAAGGATCATTCTTGCACCTACTTTTGCGAGTGATAAGAAAGGCTGCTGATCTAAACAAATTTGATAGAGGGCGGATTTAATGGCCCGAAGACTTGGAACAAGTATCTCCAGAACTGTTAGGTTGTTCACGATCTTCTGTTGTTAGTATTTATACAAAGTAGATAGATTATGGTGAAACCAGCAGCAGATGCCAAGGTATTGGATATCTCTATGTCATCAGAGAAAAAGGACGTCAGAGACTGCCCACTTGGTACAGAAAGTGGCTCAGCTGGCTGCCCAATACAATGCAGGTCCAAGAGCGTAGGTATTTCATAACACACAGTTAATTAAACACTGTTGGATATGGAACTGCACAGCAGATGTCTCACTCGAGTGCCTCTGTTGACCAAACATCATTATCAACTACACCTACAGTGGGCCCAGAAACATTGAGACTGAACAATGGATAAGTGTAAGACAGTTGCCTGGTTGAATGAATCACAATTTCTCGTTCTTCACACTGATGGTGGTGTCTGGAAATGCTGTCTTCCAGGCAAACAGTTGCTCCCTTCTGTACAGCAGGTCATACGCAGGTTGGTGGTGGCAGTTGGTCATACGCAGGTTGGTGGCTTTGGGGAACATTCTCATGGGTGGCTGTTGGATCCATAGTTGTAGGAGAACAGATCATGGAAGCTGTGGACTACCTAAACATAACTGCGAGTCAGTTGCACCCTTGCATGGCATCTCTTATTCCAATTGGAAATGGAATCTTCCAGCAGGAAAATACCTCATGTCACAAGGCTCGAATTGTGTTGGAATGGTTTGAGGAGCATAAGGATGAATTCCAGTTAATGTCCTGGCCACCTAACTCACTGGATCTCAACTCGATAGAGCACATTTGGGATGCCATGGAGCAGCAGTTCAGAGTTCAAACACCATAATATCGGAATATTTCGACTTATGACTGCTGCTTAGACATTTGGTGCAACCTGTCTCCAGTCATCTAACAAGAACTTGTGGCATCCATGCTAAGGTGAGTTGCAGCTGTTTTGGAGAATAAAGGTCGTGTAAAATGTTATTGAGGTAGGTGGTTGTAATGTTTTGACTCTTCAGTATATGCTGGTAGTAAGTATCTGTAAGCCGTGTAGAATCAGTGTAAAAGAGATAATAGTTTTCCAATACTGAAATCTTGTTTCCTCCTTGTTTGATGAGAAGTGCAGAATATGCCTTGCTTGAGAAGATGGAATGTATTGTAATATGTATACAAATTTGTTTTTGGAAGAACATATCATGCTATGAAATAATTGTTAACAATGATGAAATTTTTGTAATAAAATATGGAGCCAGTGGGTCCAAGAAGAATGCATGAAACGACTTGCTGGTTCATAATAACTTTGATGCACCAGTTCTCAAGAGGACAGAGATCTTGTGTGAATATCTCAGTGTGTGTGTAGTTACATCACACACTGCAGTACAGAAAATGCACTTTGTGTCATGTGTTTACATATAAAGTCAGATGTTGTCTTGAGGTTTATGGCATGTTTGCACTGCAGGCTTCATCTACCTTTAATGATATAACATAGGCATCTGCAGCAGCAAATGATACAGTGGATGGTGCACGTGGATGCATGAATAATTTGGCATTGTCTTGTCAAAAAAATCCCACTTCAACTCACTTCAGTATATATATATTTAGGACTTTGAATTGTGAGCAATGCATTACACGCACACTAAAGGCCCGTCCACACGAGTACGCTCGAAACGTGGCTGACGAACGCGCTTTTACGTTACCAGCGTAAAAGCGTCCAAACGAGTACGCTTGTGAAGAGTGCGTTTAACCAATAGAATTATTTTGGGCAAAAATCACGTGACGCTGTAATATAGCGTCAACAGAGCCGTATCTTATTACTTCGCTGTTCTTCTGTATGTTTGCAGCAAGTTGTCCGAATCAGATGATTTTTTTATAGCTGAAACTTTACTATTATGTACAATTATTAAGCAGAGGCAAAACCGCAAAAAACGGCAAGAATGAGCCCAAAAGATTTATTTAGAGCGACCTGTTCAAAGAGTTTTTTTTTTTTTTTTTTTACTGCCTGTTGCGACGCCTTGTTGCGAACGAATATCTGGAATTATTAAATTCCTACTATTAGCTCACTCTCTCCCTATATCTTGTTCAAATTTTCAGTACATAAAATGCTTTTTATTCATCCACTCAAGTTCAAATACAATTTTTTAAACTTGTACTGAATGACACTTGATGTTAATACAGCTTTTTCAAATATTAAAATTTTTTAATTTTTTAATAAAAAAAATTCTGTTTGTATTTTTATTTATTTATTTATTTATTTTTGTATTTTTAAACTTTTCTTTGTGGACCTAAGTAGGAATTGACTTAATTTTTTTTGGGGGGGGGGTACATTACTTGTTTTTTAATTCCTTCAGGCATGATATCGACCAGTTTGACAGACTTGCAGATTCTATATCGTATGAAAATTAGGATTTATAAATTGTTTTGGAATACAGTATATAAGAGAAATTAAATTACTTAATTCTCTTTATATACACCATCCACCATATAATAAAACAACTTCATATTTTTTTAACTCGCTCTGCCTTGGTCTTTTGTTTTCTTTTATTTATTTTTTAATTTAGAATGATGGCTTCAAACTTTGGACAGTTTATGAGAGAATTATGTGCATGATAAAATATGCAATAAAGTAAAAATAAATACAGAATTTATAGATGATATATGATAAAGAGATGCAGATATGATTACTACATAAGGGTTTCTATTTGCAATGCACATTTTTAAACTAAATTAAAAACAATAATAATAACAATGAATAACATAAGAAATGAAAACAATAATAATAATAATAGGACAACAATAAAATAGGTAAATAAGAATATAATTGATTCATGATTAAATATAAGAAACACGTTTCAAAATGAGAAAAGCTAACTGAATTATATACCGTCTACGAGTGAGGTTCGAACTCGCCACCTTTCCATTCCTGCAAAGCAAAGCGCTGAACCACTCAGCTATCTGTGATAGCAGTGTTTGTGAAAATAATGTAACAAGTAGAAGTCGCTGCAAAGGTAATTTAATTAAACTTCAATAAATTATTGCTGTATGACACAAGTTGTAACTTTCCTCCAAAATTTCATAATTCTATTTTATTGAATACTCTTTCACAGTCAACTGCTTTATTTTAGAAGTTTTTATATTGCTGAAGTTAGTTTTTGGTGTATTTAATATTGGGACATTTATAGAGCTTTTTATTACACATGATATAGCCAATATTTATAATAATTAAGGAGAATTTTGTAAGACAGAAACTTTGATTTCGTAGAAACTGTAATTTATTTAGGTTCTTATTACTTACGGTGTTACAAATAGGTGAAGCATATGGATATACTGGTCGGATCATTGCTTAATAAGTATACAGTCTTCCCCTTTAATGAGAATTTTAAATGTATACCAATATGTACAGTTTGAGAAATCTGAAGATGCTGATTATTTTATTGCTGTATACAGTTATATTTCTAAGCAAAAACTCATCTCTGTGTGGCTCTGACGCCATATTGAAACAGGTAAGCAAGAAGGTTTTCTGATTATGACACGTGATAAGAACTCGGTTGGCTATTGGCTGTACGCGCGCGTCGCGGGCGAAAAAGCTGAACAGGAGCGTACTCAGTTTTACGTCTTCTGCGTCCTGCGAATTTACGCCGGCGTCAAAAAAGTTACGTCAACTACGCCAAGAGCGTCCTCGTGTGGACGGGCCTTAAGACTTTTGGTTGTCCAATATCTTCAAGAACACCCAAAGATTCATACGAGCAGGACAATGCATGGACATGCACTGTACTTAGAATCTGACACATCCTTTGTTGGCCAGGATATTCATTACATCTTTCTGAAATGAACATGTCTCCTTATGATTTTATTTCCTGTGCCATGTCAAAGATCATCAGCAGGCTCAACAGATTAATTTTTTGGCAATGAATTACC